GAGCATCTTTCACAGAATCAAGCTATTTTTCTACAAGAAATGCTTACTGTCTGTAAACACTCTCAAATCAAGTCTCTAGACATGATCTTCAGAGATATCTATAAACTGAAAAGAAACTTTCTCAAGCTGTGATCACTTAAGGTCATCTATCAAATCACAATCTATAAAAGCTTTTGTGAGTTTGTATTTGAAATTGACTTGCAAGTCTAGCTGTGTGATATAAAAGATGAAGAAGCTGTTATCTATACAATGACAGATCTCTATTACACTGAAGTCAAGAACTGGCTGAATTATCTAGAGAATGATTATAAGAGATCTCAATAATCTGTTCTCAAGACCTATCTAGAGAACAAGTTGAGAGACTTCACAAGCTGAACAGAGAACATCTGAGCTACAATCATCAACATTAGAAAAAGAGATGAGAAATCTGATGAAGACTACTCACAGCACTTCATGAAATTGTGATGTGAATTGAGATCTGTGAAAACAGAGCTCTGAAACAAGACCTGAATGATGATGTTTGTGAAGAGACTGAATAAAGATATACAGAACAAGCTCATTGAGTAAGACTCTAAGCTCTTAATTCTGAAGAAACTGATGACTCTCATTCATCACTTGCAGATCACTGTGAGAGTCACAGATCTGCAGAGAGTGAATCATCAACTGACTCTGCAAGAGTCAGAACAACAGAGAACAGATTTATCAGGAAAAGATGATAAGACACAGAGAGATTCATATCTGACTGCTGAGCAGAGAGAGAGAGCTTCATAAGCTTCTGTGAACAGAGTGTATAACAGAAAGATCAAGAAAAAGAGACTCTGCTTCATCTATTCTAAATCAGAACATCTTTGTGCAAACTGTCTGAATAAATTAAAATAGAAATTTGAGAAGTCACAGACAGAGTCAGCAACAGCCTTCTTAAGAGTCTTGAAGCTGATACCTGAATCTGTTGCTCTCTCAATGAAAATGCTTACTCATGAGAAGAGACTGTGCTGTGATACTGCTGCTCTGCAAGTATGAGAAGTATTAATAAACTCAGGATCTCAGGTCACTGTGATGTTTCTAAAGCTTGCAGAGTGAATGAGCTGAAAGATGAAGACTGAGAACCTGCTCTTGCAACAAGCAGAGTGTGAGAACTCAGATCTGAGAACTGAGAAACTTACAAGAATCATCTTTGAATTGCAAGATCTCTCTGAAATCTGAAGAAGATTTGCAGAAACTGTGATTATCACAGACATCACAGATGACATGTATTTAGAACTTGTATAACTTTAAAGACACAATTCACACATAGCTGTCTGTGAGTCAGGTTTATACTTCTGATCAGTGTTGGCAGACTCACTTATAAAGATAGAAGCAGTTGATGCTGTAGAGTTGATTAGAGAAGATAAGCTCATCTATGTAATGACTTTGCAAGTGTCTGAGAACCTTGCAGTCATGAAAACTGAGCTTCAGATACTAGAGAAATACTGAGATCTTGCAGAGATGTTCAGCTCAGCTAAGACAGCTGAGCTTTCTTCTCACTGTAAGAAGAATCTGATAATAGATTTGATAGAAGAGTAGAAACCCTTCTGAAAATCAATCTATAAGCTCTCTTATCATGAGACAGAGGTCTTGCAGATCTATGTGAAGAAGAATCTGAAGAATGACTTTATTCAATCTTCACAGGCCTCTGTGAGAGCCTCTGTGATGTTTGTGAAGAAGAAGAATAAAGATCTCAGATTGTGTGTAGACTATCACAATCTGAACTTTAAGATAACAAAGAGCTGCTATTCTCTATCTCTGATTGAGAATGTGATCAACTGTCTTGCAGAAGCTGTCATATTCACATAACTGAATGTAATCAATGTATATATATAACTGTGAATACAGTCTGAAGATGAATGAAAGACTGTCTTTAGAACTACACTGAAATTATTTGAATATCTAGTGATGTCTTTTGATCTGACTAATACTTCTGCAGTATTTCAGTCTTTCATCAATAAAACACTTCATGTATATCTGAATGTCTTTGTGATAATATATCTGAATGATGTAGTGATGTACTTCATGAAGAAGAAAGAACATACTGAGCATGTGTGAAGTGTGTTGAAGGTCTTAGATGAGGCAGAACTGTATGTTAAGCTTGTGAAGTGCAACTTCAGTGTCTGCTAGATTAATTTCCTAGAATATGTGATCATCACAGATGATATTCAGATGAAATCTTTGCAGATTGAGACTATTCTATCATGATCAGAGTTAACTAGTATTCATGAGATTCAGATCTTTCTAAGCTTTGTGAATTTCTATAGATGATTTATCTTTATATTTATGAGAATCTTCTTGACTCTTACAGACATGCTGAAGAATGAAAATAAGAAGAAGTCATTCTGTGAACAGAGAATGAAAAGATTATTGAGAAGAGAGAACTGTGAGAACTTTCTTATCTTAGAAGCTCACAGAGTCTTTGTAAGATTGAAACAGATATTCATGAATACAGTGATACTGTTTTACTTTGATCTCTTGCTCTTAATTAGATTGAAGACAGATGTTTTCTTCTTTGTAATTTCAGAAATAGTCTTGTAACTACAGTTAAATGAGAACTGGGTTTCAGTGATCTTTTTCTTGTGAAAGATGTAACTCATGAAGATCAACTATAGCATTCATAATCAGAAGCTTCTCATAATAGTGAAATTCTTTCATCACTGATATCACTACTTTGAGAGTCTTATAATAGTGATTACTGTTAGAACTGATCATGACAGCTTGCAACAGTTTGCTTCAATCAAGAAACTCTTGCAGTGACAGATTCACTGAGCTCAGAGACTGAGTGAGTTCTGGTTCAAGATAGAATATATCAAGAGAACTAAGAACTCAGCAGACAGACTCTCTCACAGATCAGACTATGTTAAGAAGATCAGGACAACAGATACAGAGAGACTAGAGAAGGCAGAAAAGCTTCATGAAATGCTTGAACTAAGTATTATAAAGAGATTGACTGAAGAGTCTCTCAATTCCCTGTGAGAGAAGAGAAGAGAGAGAGAGAAGAAGCCTGTACAACTACTCTTTATAACACTGAGAGTCAACACTCTGAGAATCTCTGCAAGAATTCTTGAAGAGAGTATCTATAATCTGAAGAGTTTGTGAGCTTTGAGAAGTACTATAGAAGACCTGATACAAGAGGAAACAGAGTATAAGTCTTTGTAAGATCTTCTATTCAGATTGTCTGAACTGCAACTGAAGAATAAATATGCTCAGTATATTCAGAAACTGCTCATAGCAGAAATCAATTCTGCAGAAATAAGAATTGAAGAGA